TATCAGCTGTTTGGACTCTCATTCTGACGGCACCCATTCACTGCAGAGCATCCATTGCTGAGACACTGATGCAATGCTACATTTCTACAAACCTGATGAAGAAACAAACTCATCCTGATCTCAGATGCCCTGTGTGTGAGCACATTTTCATTTTGGCTGAACTATTCCTTTACCCGTAATGCATCCTCAATCAAGCTTTCTGCTTCTGTGTGTAACACAAAATGCTGTGTTCAAGTCAAGTTGTAAAGATTGTATTTACGAGTTTATCGCACATGGACACCACTGCAGTGTTGTGAATATAAGTGTGAAAATAGAATTATCCTCTAATCCCTGAATTCAGGATTTACATTTAGTCATTTAGCAGACGCTTTTATCCAAAGTGACTTACAACTTATAATTAAATTATTTGTTGAATGAAATCATTATTTTTCAAATTTACAATTAAACTTAAAAATCCAAGTCAAATGTACAAAATAAAAGTATTGAACAATTAATGAAGTTCCAAACGTAGGTTCAGGAGGCTATGGGGGGGTGGAACTCAGCGCTAAAGCCGAGCCTCGGGTTCGAGCCTCCGCTAGGGATGGGCGATGTTTTATCGTTTGCGATATACCGGTAAAAATTCTCCCCACGATAAGAATTAGTCTTCCTACGATAATAACGATAAAGTCTAGTTGTTGACATATTTCTGTGTGCGACAGTGCGGGGTGTGTCCATTGCGGAAGGCGGACGTGAAATTGAGGAATAGCCTATATGTTTTTATCAGCTGTTTGGACTCTCATTCTGACGGCACCCATTCACTGCAGAGCATCCATTGCTGAGACACTGATGCAATGCTACATTTCTACAAACCTGATGAAGAAACAAACTCATCCTGATCTCAGATGCCCTGTGTGTGAGCACATTTTCATTTTGGCTGAACTATTCCTTTACCCGTAATGCATCCTCAATCAAGCTTTCTGCTTCTGTGTGTAACACAAAATGCTGTGTTCAAGTCAAGTTGTAAAGATTGTATTTACGAGTTTATCGCACATGGACACCACTGCAGTGTTGTGAATATAAGTGTGAAAATAGAATTATCCTCTAATCCCTGAATTCAGGATTTACATTTAGTCATTTAGCAGACGCTTTTATCCAAAGTGACTTACAACTTATAATTAAATTATTTGTTGAATGAAATCATTATTTTTCAAATTTACAATTAAACTTAAAAATCCAAGTCAAATGTACAAAATAAAAGTATTGAACAATTAATGAAGTTCCAAACGTAGGTTCAGGAGGCTATGGGGGGGTGGAACTCAGCGCTAAAGCCGAGCCTCGGGTTCGAGCCTCCGCTAGGGATGGGCGATGTTTTATCGTTTGCGATATACCGGTAAAAATTCTCCCCACGATAAGAATTAGTCTTCCTGCGATAATAACGATAAAGTCTTGTTGACATATTTCTGTGTGTGACAGTGCGGAGCGGCATTGCGGAAGGAGAACGTGAAATTGATAGGAGTTTATCGCTTTATCTCCAAATTAACTTAATAACATAGTTGAGTGTTTGAAATAACTTCTTTTTGTGACCAGACGTGGTTTCATATTACAGAATGATAGTATTATATACAGTGATAAATGCTTTGTCGATTAGCATTTCATTATAAATATACTTTTTTTATAAAAAATATACAAGATTGCTTGAAGCACATAGATAAACCATATATTTTGTGTAATCGTATGTTTTATTCAGCAATAACTGCATACCTTTGTCCATATTAGGGATTTCCTGGAGCGTGGTCAGTAGTATTACTTCTGGATGCACATGTGGAGTTTCTGCACGAGGGCGCCCTCCGGCTTCCAGTGTGAATTAAACAGTAAAAATAGGAAAAATAATACTTTTCTCTAAAGAAACAGGAGCTCTCTGATCCTCCATAGACAGCAAGGATCCTAACACGATCAAGGCTCAGAAATGTAGCAAGGACATCATTAAAATAATCCATGTGACATCAGAGGTTCAGCCGTAATTTTACGAAGCTACAAGAATACTTTTTGTATGCAAAGAAAACAATGACATAATTTATATCTTAATTTGTGTTCTGAAGATGAACGAAGGTCTTACAGGTTTGGAACGACACGAGGGTGAGTTATTAATGACAGAATTTTCATTTTTGGGTGAACTATCCCTTTAACCATCAGGGCTGGATGGGCAGGCGAACTCGTGAACAACAAAATATATAACAGTTTGCTTTACAGCACCTTCATAAATTGAATAAAAACAAAGCAAAAAAACACTGACACACATCCTTTATTCATCATTTTGTACTAGAGCTTAAAAATCTCACTGAATTTTTTGTAGAAAAGGTACATCGCCATCTTTCTCTGAACAAAGTAATCTGAACACACCTGACATCATAATTACAATTTCCCAACTCAGATATACGAACTTCCCAGGAGGATTGATGAGGCCCTTATTGGAGCTTAATCAGTCTGAAGAAAGTTCTGTGAATGAACCCTTTAATGTTTGGCAGTGTTTTCCATCAGTGTATGTTCTGTTAGTGTTTGGCTGCTTTTCATTGGGCTTGGATTGTGTGTCTTCATGAAATCATGTCCGTTTTTCTTCCTCATCTAGAACGCCAAAAATGCTGTTTCAAGCTCCGCCGTTCCTCCTCACCGGCTTCCCCGTAAGAAACCAAAAAACCCCGCCGCCGATCAGCGTCATGCCATCGGAGGTCTTTTCCCCGGCGGCCATGTGTCCAGACGGCGGTCAGTCGAGAAACGCTCTGCCGGTACCCATCCACAGCACTCTGCCATCATACTCCTGAACTCCTGAACTCGTCTGTCACACACACACACACACACACACACACACACACACACACACACAGGTCACTGGACTCTGCTGAGCGTGGCAGGCCGCCTGGCCGTTTCTCCCTCAGCTGAAGCTGTAAATACATCTCTGGTGCTCTGTGGTCACTCTGAATGTCCATTGCATGTCATGTTGGGTTGTTCGTGGGCTCGTTTCTTAAGCTTGATTTACATAGTGACACAATAACGAGTGCAATAGTTTCATTGAAGCGTGTTTCTCCCATTCCAGCACTCCACCAAAGAACTCCAGCAGCTCTCTATAGCGTGTGCATGGTCAGGGGTCCGTGACTGGAGATGTGATGGAAACATGACACACGCGCTCTGTAATTACACACGTCAATCACCACACGTCTTGTAATAGTTCCTTTTGTATTGTATTGATTATTCTGACTCTGATGATTATTGTTGGTGTGGGAATGCTGTCAGCATCTTGTGAACAAGTGATGTAAAAATCTTCTTATGGTTTAATATCACGATGATTTGAGGTGAGTAGTGCGTAGCCTGTTAGTAGCAATGTGTGGCATTAAGATCAGGTTTATGTTCAATATTTGTTACATTCATATAATCAGTGACGTGGGCTTTTATTTTGTTCTTGTTCATTTACTTTTTAATACAGTTACAATATGAAGAAATACATGTTTGTGTATGTTTTATTAAATTGTAACTACATCAAGGAAGTCTTATTGCTGTTTATTTCATTTTACACCAATAACCGAATAACTTTGGAATATTATTTTGCGTTAATGGTTTTAAAGAAGTGTACAACGTAAACAATAGGCCTACATATAAGAACACAAGAATAGCCCATATTTTACAATCAAAGAAAAATACCACATTGATTTCATAGTTTTACTTTTTGATATCGATTAAAGGTATGTTTTGACCTCAACATGAAATTAAGTCGACTGAGGTATAAATTACATTCAGTCATTTAGCAGACTCTTTTATCCACAGCCACTTACAAATGAGGACAATAGAAGCAATCAAAACAACAAAAGAGCAATAAAATGTAAGTATTGTGACCAGTCTCAGATAGCTTAACGCAGTACACGTTGCAGGGGTTCTTTTTTTCCTATACTGGCTGTTAGACCTGCCAAGAGAGCATTGCAATAGTCCAGCCTGGACAGAACAAGAGCTTGAACAAGCAGTTGTGAAGCATGTTCCGAAAGAAAGGGTCTGATCTTCTTGATGTTGAATAAAGCAAATCTGCAGGACCAGACAGTTTTAGCAATGTGGTTTGAGAAAGTCAGCTGATCATCAATCATAACTCAAGGTTTCTGGCTGATTTTGAAAGAGTTATGGTTGATGAGCCTAACTGGATGGTGAAATTGTGATGAAACGATGGGTTTGCTGGAACCACAAGCAGTTCTGTCTTAGCCAGGTTGAGTTGAAGGTGATGGTCCGTCATCCAGCAAGAAATGTCTGTTAGACAAGCTGAGATGCGAGCAGCTATAAAAGAAGTGGTCCAAGTACTGAGCCCTGAGGCACCCCAGTAGCTAGATGTTGCGACTTGGACACCTCACCTCTACAAGATACCTTATTTTAAATGACACAAACCACTGTGATTGGTCCATCCACAGAAGCGCACGGAAAAGTAAGATAAACCACATATGGACCTTCTGTGGATGGACCAATCACAGTGGTTTGTGTTTAACCGCATTATGAAGCGGATTCTCTTTAACAGGCCAAGAAGGAATTTCTCATTTCTGAGTTAGTGCTCAAATTTCAACACAAAATCGCATCTTGGCCGTCAAACGCCCCTTGAGGAATAAACGGTGTATTATTAGTCGACCTGTTTCGACATATTGTTTGAATAACCAGCGTGACTCCGCTCGCTCGCCGTAGCTGCGCCGGAACCGGAAGCCGAATCTTTCCTCTTTCAGTCCATTGAAAGAAAACATCTACATTAAGATCATCGCGAGTCATGCGCTGATTCTGAGCTCTGTCCGTGAGCGGCGGCAGAATGGGCTCAGCACCGGGCAGATTCCGCGGTGTGGCGATCTGGCTGATTCTCGCCGGACTCGTGCGTCTGTCAGACGGAGGTATAAACACACAAACACCGAATCGTGACAGAAACTCTGGGCGAGCGGTGATGTGACAAGGCTCTCTGTCTCCTCAGATGCAGCGGGGGCCGCCGGCCCGTGGGATCCGGAGCAGCTGGAGCAGCTGGCGGGGGAAGCGTGCGCTGAGGGCCGATGCGAGACCGAGACCGAGACCGAAGCGCTGCTGTCCGCCGTCCTTCACAGCGACACCGGAGAGCCCCAGAGCCACAACCTCACCGAGACCGCCAAGACATACAAAGTGACCTGCGACCGAAGGAACATCAGCGCGACGGAGCGCGTCACGGTCCAGATTCTCAACGCGTCTCAGGTGAAGCCGTGCTAAAGAAGGAAGTCTCTTCTGCTCAGCTGAGCTACAGTTCTCACAAATACAGTACAACAGTGATAGTGTCAAATATTATTAGAATGTAAAACAGCTGTTCCAAAGCCACTTACAAATGAGGACAATAGAAGCAATCAAAACAAGAAAAGAGCAGTAACAGGTAAATGCTGTGATAAGTCTTGGTTAAGGTTTATTTTATAATAAATAAAAAGAAAACAAGTAGATAGAATAGAAAAGGAATAGGGAACACTAGTGTTAGAGGCTCTTTCTTTTTAAATAAAAATAAAACAAGTCACAAGAATAGAGAAAACTAGTGTTAGAGGCTCTCTCTTTCTTTTTAAATAAAACAAGTAGTTAGAATAGATTTTTTTTGTTTAAATAAAAAAGAAAACCAGTAGATCAACTAGAATTAGAATAGAGAGTGCTAGAGTTGGAAAGTCAAATGAAGACGAAAGAGATGCGTTTTGAGCTGTTTCTTGAAGATGGACTCGGGTCACCATGAGACGGATGTAGAACACATCTGTTCTTCTGCATCTGAGTGAAACGCGTTTGTGCTAAAGAAATACGTGGGGCGGGGCTTGGTTCTGTATATCTGTTGCTGATTGGATGTTGAGGTGTGGTGGGGGCGTGGCTCTCAGATGAGCGTGACATTTTAATTAAACGTTAGGAGTTCAAACTATTCTTTAAACCTGAATCATATCCACAGATGAATAGCTCACAGTAAGATCTATAAGCTGTATTGTGGTTTCTCCGCAGGACCTGATGGAGCTCCTGAATGCCAACGGCACCGAATGCTCCTTGGTTCTCTTTTATACCACCTGGTGTCAGTTTTCGGCAAGCCTCGCCCCGCACTTCAACGCCCTGCCGCGAGTCTTTCCCAGCATGCAGTTCCTGGCGCTCGACGCGTCCCAGCACAGCAGGTTGATCAGGGGCGTTCTTCCTGGTAATGTGGCCCGCTGAGGCTGCTTCTGTCTTCATCAGCTGTGTTTCTCTCTCGCTCTGTTCAGTCTCTCCACGCGCTTCGGCACGGTGGCCGTCCCCAACATACTGCTGTTTCAAGGAGCCAAACCCATGGCCAGGTTCAACCAGACAGACAGAACGCTGGAAACGCTGAGCTCGTTCATCACAAACCAGACAGGTGTGGTGCTCAGAAGCACAGCTCGTATTAACCCCTTAAGCGCCACCCCCATTTTTGACCATAGACGTGAAAGTGCACTATCCAAACTTAAATTGCTATTATTCATGAATGCTTTAGAATACAGACCTAAGGTCTTTTTTTTTTAAGAAGACAATCTGCAGATTATTGCACAAGTGGAATCATTTCAAAATATGAAAGTATCAAAAAATTATTGAAGTTTACATTTACTGTAAAGAAAATGCACTGTACCATTTTTTCTTATTTTCTATAAAATAAATATTTTACAAAATATTTTTGAATCCAAAATTGCTATAAAATTAAAGCCTTATGTCTAAATAAAATGTTTCAAATTTGAAGTTGATATAAAAGAAATTGAGATTTTATGTAGGGCGTTATACCACAAACAGCCATCAAAACGCCATCGATTTTTTTTAATGCACACAAATGTCTACATTTCTCTGTAAATATTACTATATCACAAAATAACCACCAAATATGGAATTCTTGAGACTGTATTTTGTCAAGATTATAAAAACTTTTGATTCTAAAAGACCGTAATACGTTTTGTAATATGACACTTGACTCCGCCCACTAAAGGGGAGGAGACCGCTAAAGGATTTTTAAAGTAAGTCGATTTCCATGGTAACGCAACGTCCGTTTTCAAAATGGTTTTCACAGTATGAATTTGGGGGTTTTAAGCTTTCAAATGATATAAAATATGTGATAACGAAAAAGCGAGCGCCAGGCGGCACACAGGTGAGCTGGTGGCACTTATGGGGTTAAACTGCAGCTGTTTCTATGATGAAGTGATGCATATCCAGTGTATGCACTGCATGGTGACTTTGTGTGGTTTCCCACCGTCCTCTAGGTTTTGAAGCGAGTCCAGATCAGGCCGTCCTGGAGGAAGACCGCGCCGGGCCTCTGCCTGCGGCTCCTGTCAAAGGCATCGACTGGCTCTTCGTGTTTTCGGTTCTGTTCATATCCGGCTTCACTCTCTATGCCATCCTCTGCTCAGACAGCATGCGCTGGCTCGTTCCAGGACCAGAACACGAGCATCAGGACTAGAGTCTCTCCTGTGATTCCAATGTACATACTTGCAGAATAAATAAGTGTATGAATGTAAAGAGTCTGCTCGTATTGTCGTGTACTTGTTTAGTTCTGTTCTGTAGTATCAGCTGAGGTCTAACACCAGTCAGTAACATTTTTAGAGCTTTATAAATGAAAACCTTCTTTACGGGTGGGTTTTAATGGGTTAATGCTGAGGACTCTAGTCTACAACCCTGAGAAGAGCTGGATTATAAGGGCCCTCACTAGGGTGCACACTGTGTGATTGTGATCAGGCGCTCGGGGCAGCCCTGCAGTGGAGAAGAGCTGGAGAAGAGACTCTGACCCGAGCGCTTTCACTAAACTAACCCGCTGTTATCTGTCTGCTGGCGGGGCGCGGGGAAATGGTAAGACATTATTCTCATTTCGACCAAGACTTGCGAACGCGCTCATTCGCAGCTGTGCGTGAGTGTGCGTGAGTGTGACGTCGGCAGCTGCTCGACCAATCAGCGGCGTCGCGGCTGGAGGATAGCGACTGGTTGAATACTAACACGATCTAGTATTTGGAAGCTAATCAGAGAAATTAAACTGGTTTTCCCAGAAAGTGAGGCATGGCGTGTTTATGGGCTTGTTGAGTTTGAGACATAAATTGATAGCGCCAGTCAGCAAGCTGGACTCGAGCGCCATCTAGAGGAATTACACGTTTGAAAAGCGACAAAACTATTATCTTTTATGGAGGTTCTTTCCTTCTTTCTTTCTTTCTTGCTGTGCTGGGGTAATTTGACTATAACCTATACTATAACAGACATTTTTATTTTTTATACAATTTATTAAAAACACTTTCTGTTTTAATTTTTATACAAAATGAGCATCATTTCCGGGTACATATTTGTCCTCAAAAAGTAGGTAAACGCACACTTATAAGCAGGTCAAACACACAAACACAATATCAATGTGTTGCAGATGGCCTTGTGTGTAGTTTGCGTTATTTTGACCGATACAAGATTAGAACACGCTATTAAACCTGCAGTGAAATGTTTACCCGACAGATGGCGCAATAGAGCCGCTAACACTTATGAACGAAGCTGCTGCTGCCTATAGATAGATAGAT